AGTGGGAGGAGATGGGTAATAGGAACGATGAGAAGACTAATAGTAATGCAGACTAATAGTTTGGCAGTGTTGAGGGAATTATTTGTTAAGCAGAGTGATGGCGTTTGGGGAAAAACCGTCCTTGTGTCTAGTTGTTCTGGTGTGCAGTGCCCTATAGCATCGTTTTGAGGGTAGGAGTTGAATCAATTTATGTCCAGGATGTGCGAGGGGTCTGTAGATATTTTCACAGCCCTCTTTTTGACTCCTGCAGTGTTCAGGTCCACAGTAGAAGGCAGGTTGGTAGCCATTGTTTTTTTCTGCAGTTCTGATTCTCCTCTGAAGTTTGTCTGCCTTGTTGGGTTGCAGAGCCAAACCATTCAACCGTTCTTCATATGTTTTAGCCTCCAGTCCCCTAATCCTCTTAGCTCCCCCATCTTTGATTCCCTCTGGGAGGGGCCATTCACCGTCCACCTGTGGCTTTACTCCCTAGTCGACCCCTGTTCTTTAGCTGCTCCCTTCATCTGGCCACTCTGTGCATGTGGACAATGGAAACAGGCTCCAGCTGTTCTTCTGCCCCACTGATGTCTGACTCCGAAGGCAGCTGATAACTGGCATATGGCCCTGGCCCCCTCTCTGCCTCCAAGCCCTCATCAGAGCCTTCCCCAGACTCCAGGCTGGCCCATGTTCCTCCTCAACCTCCTCACTGTCCAGATCTGGTGCCACCTCCGCTGATTGTTGGTGGGCGACAACACCCATCAGCTCTCAGAATTCCACAGCCAGGTGAAGTGCTGCTAGGAATTCTGGGAGTTGAAGTCCCCGCACTGGATGTGAGCAGGCTCCAGGTTGACATGGGAGAACGATGTCTTATTTAGCACTGATTTGGGGCAGAGTAAAACAATCCTGGCATCAATAAGATATTAAACCTTCATCGCACCTTTAAGTCCGGCCAACGCCTCCTCTTCTTCATCACCGGTTTAACAGATTCTTTTTTAACACAATAACAAAGTTGGAAGGGACCTTGGAGGCCATCTAGTCCAACCCCCCGCCCGAGCAGGAGACCTTCCACCATTTCTGACGGATGGCAGTCCAGTATCTTCTTGAAAGCCTCCAGGGATGAAGCTCCCACAACTTCCGAAGGCAACTTCTGTTCCATGGGGTTGGTTGTTCAGGAAATTCCTCCTTATTCCTAAATTGAATCTCTCCTTGTTCAATTTCCATCCATTATTCCTTGTGTGGCCTTCGGGTGCTTTGGGAAAATTTACATATTTGTTTTATTTACATATATATGAAATTTTCGGCTCCCCGTTGCGATGAAAGGCCTTCGTAGGTAGGTCTTCATAGATCAACAGAGAAGAGGGATTGGAAGGAGATGGCAAAATTCTTCATCAAATTAAAATAAAGAAAGAGAGGCACGCTTATTTTCCTGCAAGCATTCTTAGCTCATTAAGTCATTTGACTCAACCAAAAGACAATCGTGAATTAAAGAGGATAATTGCACTCAGCATCTATTCAAGCATGGGATTGACTGACACAAGTTGGGACAAATTCCTGCAGAAGAGCCTCTAGCAAAGGAATCTTCTATCTTGTCGCCATCAGCATTCCCAAAACATTCCCACATCCAACAGCCATTTCTGCCTTTATCTTGTCTGCAGCCATTATTTGGATTTATTCCGTTTCATTTATTTTATCCTGCCTTTATCATTTTTATGAACAACTCAAGGGGGCAAACAGATCTAATGTTCCTCTTTCTCCTCTTTTCCCTCGCAACAACAACCTTGTGAGGTGGGTTGGGATGAAAGAGAAGGACTGGCCCAAAGTCACCCAGATGGCTTTCGTGCCTAAGGCGGGACTAGAACTCACCGTCTCCTGGTGATTGGCCCAAAGTCACCCAGATGGCTTTCGTGCCTAAGGCGGGACTAGAACTCCCCATCTCCTGGTGATTGGCCCAAAGTCACCCAGATGGCTTTCCTGCCTAAGGCGGGACTAGAACTCCCCATCTCCTGGTGATTGGCCCAAAGTCACCCAGATGGCTTTCCTGCCTAAGGCGGGACTAGAACTCC